AGGACGTTTCTCACTCACCAGCAGTGAAACAGATAAAGTGCACAGGCACAACAGATAAGATCAGTTCCTAATACAAAAATTTAAACATTCAATTAAACAAGAAAATATAAAATGTACAATAATATAAAATATGCAATACTTATGCTAGTGCAAAAAGGCAAATGGTAATGGCAGCAGAAAAATTATTATTATTATTACCAATTATGTAAGATATAGTATTTGTAACAGTGCAAAATAACTGTAAATAAATATAGTATTAATAGTAGTGCAGGAGACAGTTTGTCCGGAGTGATTTTTTTTTTGAAGGGGGCTGAGCTTCCTGACAGCTTGGTGGATGAAGTTTTCTGTAAATCTGGTGGAACGGGCAAGAGCCTGAACAGACAGTCAGTCTATGAAAACACACACATGCACAAAGACTGACTGTCTGTCTGTGTGTCTCTAGCAGCATTGTGGTATGAGAATGCTTTTCTTTAGTAGAGAAAGGGAAGCAAGACAGCCTTGGCAGGAAATATGGGTGGAGTTAAATTGAGGATTGAGGATATTGAAGGGTTGCAAATCTTAAGACTGGGGTGAAAGCTCCTCTCCCTGGAGCTCAATGACCACAAAATTCCATCCTCAGCTGCTTTGGAATGGTTTACATGAAAGAAGCGTTATACTAGTCCAACACCATAACCAAAAGACTTGCAGAACTGTAGCTAAAGGGGATTCTAAAAATATAGACCCACTGGGCTAAATCTAAATGTATGCCACAGGTTTCAATCTTTTGTTTCTTAATACTATTTGAATCCGTGTTCCATTATATTACTTCAATTCCTGATTATATGCTACTTTGTGTTGGTCTATCACACAAGTCCCTTTATAACAAATATGAGATTTTTTTGTTGCAGCATTACAGAAGGTATGAAATAAAAAAAAAAAAGAATCATTTTAAATTCACATTTTTTAAATCAAAAAGCCTGCTAAGGTTGAGCAGTGATTTGTCTTCAGTCCAGCCTTCAAAAGCTTTATATGCATTCCGATATCTGCATACCCCAGACCCCTCCTCTGCTTTCTCACCCTCTGTCACTGCCTTTGTGTGACTGCTCCATGGCAAAAGAACTGGGGAGCCCCATTTATAGCGTCAATTCTGCCTCTAGTTGCCAGGGAGCTCTTCTGGTACTCACAGGGTGCTCCCGAGTTTGTGATTCCCTCCCCTTCGCCCCTCCTTTTCCCCGCCTTCTGTTCCCTGTGGCCTCTTTAGAGCCCCTATCTCCACAATCCTGTGCACATAGAGATGAAGCTCCACAGCCAATAATACCCAAGGGATGGCCACAGCTGGTAGAAGCTAATAAACTCATCACTCGTCACGTCTGAATGCTGTTTACCTACCTGCAAAGCAAAGTTAAGAGGAAAAGCGCAGTAATATTACATTGAGGAGGCTCAAAGGTTTTTTTGTTTGTTTTTTGGAACAACTTAAT